GTGTGTGTGTGTGTGTGTGTGTGTGTGTGTGTGTGTGTGTGTGTGTGTGTGTGTGTGTGTGTTGATTTATGACATTATTTGTTTCTAGTCAGTTTCATGAATAAAAACTGGCTTCATTTTTTTTAAAAGCTATTTTCAGTTCTACCTACATATTTAAGTTACCTTTGATCAAATTTTACTAATAAATATTGAACAAAAATAAATTTGCACATAATAGTAGTCTGAACTGTTCGAGGGTTTGTATAAAACTGTAAATAAGAGAAATGGTCCTTATCAAACCCAACCAGATGATATTTAGTGTTACTAAACTCATAAAAGTAAATCTAATATGATGTGTGTTGTCTACAAATAAATTGAAACTTAAGTTTTAAAAATACCCGTCATTGTACATATTTGGTAAAGTCTTGAATTTAACAGGATAAATTTTACTTTTGTTACTTTGAAGGAGTGGATACAAATCCCCAGACCTGAAGGGACATATTGAATTGTTTGAAATGGTTCAGAGGACGACTACTAGGATAATTCCTGGAATGAAAAAGTCATATGAGGATAGGTGAAAATATCTGAACTTTTCTCTTGAAAAAAGAAGAGTTAGAGGGGATCTGATTGAGGTGTTTAAGATTGTTAATAGAACTGATAGTGTTGATGCATCATCTTTTTTTCATATTTAATGGTGAAAAAGGTAAGACTAGGGGACACAAATATAAATGTTGGCAGGGAAGAAGTCATCTTCAGCTAAGGCAGCTTTACTTTCCAAACAGGATGGTTAGTCTCTGGAAGAAGTTGCCTTGGGAAGTGGTGGATGCAGTTTATTTAACAGAGTCTAAATGAAAGCTTAATAAATATTTGAATGATAATGGCTGGCTTTGAGGATTTTTTTTAAGTGTTTAATTTAGTGTATAGGTCAGCTTAGATGTGCCAAAAGGTTCCTTGTCATCCTTTAATGTTATTTATACAAAACTTACATAAACCCAACATCTCCATGACAATTCTTACCGTGAAACGTGACTTTAACAATGTTAATATGATTTGAAGCAAATCAAATACGTGTCTGACCTTTCTTAAGACACACAAAAAGACTTCGGTGTATAACGTAGAAATTTATACTGTTCTTATAAAAAATATACTGTATGGAGGCAATAAATACCTGGTCCAAGCAATGGCATTCTAGAGTGATGAGAAGATCGAAAATCTCCAAACACACTTGAAGATGGCAGATGACTTGATGGACTACGAAGACCAGATGACCCTCCACTTTCACTTCCCTCCTGGACATGTTCTCGCCTATCACTTAAGTCTTGAAGGGTCACTGTTGGACCATTGGGGTGGGCCGTAGCTGTTGTTGCTTGGTTACATAATACACCCTAAGGTAAACAATTAAAATTATATGTAATTACAGTGTGTATGATACCATGTCCTGCTCAAGACAAAAAACAAAATATTACAACCTGGTTTCCCTAACAGCAGAAACAGTAACATTATCTTCAATGCCACATCTCCATATTTGAAACTTTGGATGGTTAAATATGCACCATCACACCTACATTTACAACCTCATGCTTAATATGGGACACTAAAACAAACAAACATACAGTGAGAAAGCTGAACGACAGCCAATTGTTAGATAGTTACTAGTCGCAATGTATTTATTCGATTTCCTCATATTCACAAGTCATGCTTCACTTACACATATTCAGTTTCAACGTGCATTCAAATTAAAAATAACTAAAACAGGATAGAAGAAACACAAGAGAACTACCCTTCCCCACCATTAACCTGACATCATCAGGTACTTTACACAATAAAACACAATTTAATTACATCAGATGGTGATGTAACAAGCACAGCCTTTACTTTAATACAAACGTAAATCTACTCCTTGCATTTTATTTATTATATGTCTGTTTTTTTTTATAATAGCATCTTTTATTTTACATTTATAGCATCCGGACCCGAAATATGTGTACAATGATTAATTAGGCCAGTGGCTACTAGAGATTACAAAAACTCCAGAATTACAGTTCCAAAACAAAGTTAAACATAATTACTTCAAGGTCTTTTGTTCAGAATTTCAAAAGTGTGCATAAAAGTTACATGTTCCTCTCACTAAAACATTTACTTCATCACATATCTAAATTTGGCATTTAAATGTTTGGTTCAGTTTTTATGCACCATAAACAAAATATGTGTGTGTTGAAATTAAAACTCCATAAAAACTATTATATGCTAGCAGATATGCCACCCTGTGGGTGGCTGTTTGTACTAGTAATTACTGATCATAGAAAATACATACCCCATTGAAAAGAAAATTTAAAAAAGTTAACGTTTTCTAAAAAACTATTTTTTTTCTGGGAAGTACAGCACAGGAAAAGTGTTTGGATTGTGCTCTTTAATCAAACACAACTCATTACATCAAAATGATTCATGTACAGAGCTCAAAATTTTTGTATATTTTACTGATATATACTATAATGTTTTTATATATATTAAACAGATTTTTTAAGAACTCCAGTTTCTCAGTACTACATTTAACAATTACATCAATAAAGATATAATCAAACCCTCACGTACTGTCCTAGTGAGTCATGTTCTTGTTGTAAGGAGAATACTTTTATTTAGAAAGTTTTCTATTATAAATAAATGTTTGTTGCACATACCACAATTATTAATCTTATTGTCTGAATCTTGAATACCCAAAGTGTGAAATTTTTTATGAATTTTTATTTCTAGTGCCATTCAATAGATGGCGCCCAAGTTTTGGTTACTTACATAGATACTGACATATATACAACATCCATTATAGTAAGATGTTGGGTATAAAATTATATTAGTTTGTAACAGGAACTATGGAAACTGACATTTTTTGTGGTGTATTTTCATAGCCAGTAGGCACTAGCCCCAGTAATAATTAACTGTAGATATTTACTTAACTGAATATCAAAATTATTTTTATTTCATATGTGTAAAAAAAAACAAAAAAACAGATACAACTTTAAATTTCCTTGATTTGATAATGTGTGTAGATATTCTAGATGTACAAGCTATCTGAAGGGAATTTCTTTTGATCCCTCAAAAGTAAATGAAATCAAACAGCTGGCTGCAGGACCAACTAACGAGCAAATTTCTCATACGAGTAAAATGTTGATCATAACTCTAAGTTACTTAGTCTAATAAACAGTATGTGTCGTGAAATATTATTGGAATTATTGTTATAGCAAAAGTACCCAACTGACGAAACAAAGGCATTATAATCCTTATCAACAGAAACATATAAAAACTATATTAAATTAACTATACTGATTACCAGGTTGATTGTTTAGCTTCATTCTAAGTACACAGCCTGCTCTGATTGGAAGTTAATATTAATTAAAGAACAATAACAATTGCTAGGCTCAACGTGTCACAGAATGTGTAATCAGATACCAAAAATCAGTAGAATTTAAACATTACGTTCGTAAGATTGTTCAGACCGATTAACTTTCATATTACACAACTGTGCACATTGATATGTCTATCAATGTGGAGATGACAAATTGGACACACATTAAAGATTAAAACAAATTCAAGTACTTGAATTCCTACACTGTTTTTAGTACACACTAACTTTGTTTCCACATAAATAAAAGTAACTTCTGGTATATATTTTCTGTACTTGTATAAAAGCGTATCTGTATCCGCTATCACGTGTTCTGGTAAGAAACTGTCTGAACCTATTTTGATGAAATTTGGTCAAGGAACTCGCATGGACCCCCCCCCCCCCAAGAAAAAGAGTTTAAGTAGATGATGTTAGAGGCAGCCATTTCAGTTTTACCACCTTAATGCTGTGTCCCTATAGCGCTGTGGATAGCACGTTGGATTTCTAATCCAAAGGTACCGGGTTCGTTCCCAGGCAGGGATGCCACCACCATTGCCTGGTCCCAAGTCCAGGATGAAAAAGGAGGAGGGTTGGGCAAAGGGCTAGCAACTCCACCCCGTAAAAACCAAC